CATGTGAAAATAACTTTTAATTTATATTTACCAATAGTTTCAAATTGAGCTTTCTTGTGTTATATCATTCAAAATTCTAGTTCATGAAAATGTATACAACATAAGTGTTGATCACAGTAAATGCAACACTTGAATACAAATTGGCAAATTATTTTGCTAAATGTGCAGGTAGGAACACAAATTTATGCTTAAATTATCCTTAACATAAGAAACAACATAAACACTTAGTATGAAAAAACCTGCAATTAAAATTTTAAAGTGAATATATTATTATGACTTTTATTAATTATTTTTACATTCTAAATGTATAATCATAGAGTGAACTATTCTCAATGTGCTGTATTATATATTTACAGTGCCACTTACATTTCTAGGAATATATGTGATTTAATTTTTTTTTTTTGCTTTGTTTTTTAAAGAAGAAGAAAACAAAAATTAGTAGTTCAGTTGTTTATTATGTACCAATTGAGAAATTTATAGTTAGAGATGGGATAGCAAAACTATTAAATCAAAAAGTGACATTCTAGCAAAAGCCAAGAATAATCAAAGTCTCTTTTCTTTAGGTTAATAAGAACTTGTATAAAAAGGACTAAGGTAGACTGATGTTTCAAATTATATATGCATAAAATTCATATATAAATATTCATATAAATATTCATATAAAATATAAATATAATGAATATGCAAATATTATATATGTATGTATAAATTCATATATAAAATTCATATGAATCAAATTCAGCCACTAAGAACACTGTACATGTCCTACTGGTTTTCATTGTAGGAAGAGTTGTCAATATTACATTTAAGACCTCTTTCATTTGCAAAAATATAAAATGATTTACAACAGAAATCAAAGCACTGTATTATCTTCTAATAAGAATTGAAAATAGCTTGCAATCCTCAGTGCAAAATGTCCTCTATTAATGATAATCCTTATGATTATTTAGCTTCCCTAAAGTAAACAAACATACAGTGGAACTGCTTTCAAATTAGTTATCCTCACAGCAAATGCCCTGTGGTACATCAGCAACAATTTATTTTGCAAAGAGAGTAAAGAAATAAAATAAGAGGAAATGTTTAACCACTTATGCAAATTTAATATGCTGCCCTGATAAGATATTCTGAGGGTGCAGTGTATTTGGGGATTTAGATTTTGATACTTTACTTTGAGAAATCAAATATTGATGAACTTGGGAAAGAGAGAAGACCTTGTATATAAGCTACACATGACACATGCACTGAAAATAACAAAGGCTGGATACAGACCTATTTATTTATTTGTCTATTTATTTATTTATTTTAAGCTCTTTAGCTCTGCAGTGATAAAAGAAATAAGGACATAAGCAACGTCCTAGGGCAGATCATTCTGTCCATCATTCTGCCCATCCCCTCTCTGACAGTGGCAGAAGAGGTTATTTCAGGAGATCACAATAGCCTGGCCATTTTTTTCCCCTCATACTCCTCCATGTCTGCAATATGGAATTAAGGATGTTAGTTGGCATATCCCTACCAAGACTTGTTAGTTTACACGTGTTAGTGTCAAGCTGCTGCCTATGAATGTGCCCATGTTATTCCCAAACCTGCTGTTACAGCTCCCTCTGCAGCTTCCTGTATCAGCAAGTTTACTACCTGCTGCATAAGGTACTTCCTTTTATAAAAGGCAATTGCTTTAATGTAGGTAGTGTCCCTACAACACAGGAGTCTATCATGTTAGTGAAGTCCTTTTTTTTTACAGACATCAGCCAAAAGCAATATAAAAATGGAAAAAGATCTTGATGTTCCCTGGAGGTAGACAAAAAGCTGGGAAAATTCCAAGACACATCAGATAAACACATGCTTATCTGCAACTGCACTAGGGCTCCTGATTCTAGGGGACACATTTTTCTCAGAATTTGCTTTTTGTTCTCTGCAATAGGAGGACATTAAAGATAATGGTAAAGCCTTAGTAAACACCAACAAACCTAAGGTTGCAGACAATAGAGGATACTAATTTTCACCTCAGCTAGTAGATCTCAGATTTGTGGGGAGCCATACAGAAATATTACCTTGTGTCCCAGGGCAAAATAGCTGCATTAACACAGATGTACTACATAGGTTTACCTCACAACAGGACATCAAGCACAACACTACTGTACTTGACACAGATATCCCCCCTTTTGTTCCAGAGCTATCCTCGCTGCTGCTAGAGCTCAGCCAAGCTCTCACTATTTCACATACAGCCCTACCAATTTCAGAGGGGCCAAGACTTCACTAGGCTGACCATGAAGCACAGATCATTGCACTATTTACACTGGCAGCCTGACTCTCAGTGGGTAAGTACATACAGAGGCTTTGAATCAAGTTTGCGTGGAGCATGACATACTGACCTGTTCATAGCAAGAAAAGATTATACAACTTGCTGAGACATCTGAGTGATAATGACACTCAACTGCTTACATGTATAAAATGCTTACATAAATAAAATCATCCAATTTATATTGTCTTACAATATACAAGTATGAATGCTGCTCTGAAATCATCTGTTGTAGCACAGAAAGGATTTACAAATTTCCTGGCATGGAAATTACGACATTCAATTGTATTTATTCCAGCTATGTAATAGTTTTTTTGGGGGTTATTTTTTTTGTGTTTGTTTGTTTGTTTTAAATTTAGTTCAGCATCTCTCTTATTAACTACTTATTTTTCCCTAGATGTTTGCTGATTTTTATTCCCCTTCTGTCCCTCTTTTCTTCACAGTTTTTTGTTTTGTTTTGTGTTTTTTGTTGTTGTTGTTGTTGTTTTTGTTTTGTTTTGTTTTGTTTTTTTTCCCCTAGCATAAGATTTATCCAAAGCCATTTCATTTTCCTGTTATTGCTGCCATTTCCAGAACATCCACTACCTACTGATGAGACAGACAACAGAACACAGAGACAGAGGCAAGTTGCAAGGCTAATGCAGAAGCAGGGAACAGTGCGTATGGTGAACAGGCAGACAGAAAGATGGACACCAAAGAAAACTAAAGTTTATAATTCTGGGAGTGATCAGAGGGATTGTGACTGGGGTTTTTAATGGCAAAGTTCTGACCCTTGGCCATGTGTTGTTCTGAAATCTGTCTGTCTGGGGCCGGTCCTCTTTAACATCTTCATCAATGATCTGGATGACGGCATTGAGTGCACCCTCAGTAAGTTCGCAGATGACACCAAGCTAGGTGCGTGTGTCGATCTGCTCGAGGGTAGGAAGGCTCTGCAGGAGGATCTGGATAGGCTGCACCGATGGGCTGAGGTCAACTGTATGAAGTTCAACAAGGCCAAGTGCCGGGTCCTGCACCTGGGGCGCAATAACCCCAAGCAGAACTACAGGCTGGGAGAGGAATGGTTGGAGAGCTGCCAGGCAGAGAAGGACCTGGGAGTGATGGTGGACAGTCGGCTGAATATGAGCCAGCAGTGTGCTCAGGTGGCCAAGAAGGCCAACGGCATCCTGGCTTGTATCAGAAACAGTGTGACCAGCAGGGCTAGGGAGGTGATCGTCCCCCTGTACTCGGCTCTGGTGAGGCCGCACCTCGAGTACTGTGTTCAGTTTTGGGCCCCTCGCTACAAGAAGGACATCGAGGTGCTTGAGCGGGTCCAAAGAAGGGCGACGAAGCTGGTGAGGGGCCTGGAGAGCAAGTCCTATGAGGAGCGGCTGAAGGAGCTGGGCTTGTTCAGCCTAGAGAAGAGGAGGCTCAGGGGTGACCTTATTGCTATGTATAAGTACATTAAAGGAGGCTGTAGAGAGGTGGGGGTTGGCCTGTTCTCCCATGTGCCTGGTGACAGGACGAGGGGGAATGGGCTAAAGTTACGCCAGGGGAGTTTTAGGTTAGATGTTAGGAAGAATTTCTTTACTGAAAGGGTTGTGAGGCACTGGAACGGGCTGCCCAGGGAGGTGGTGGAGTCACCATCCCTGGAAGTCTTCAAAAGACGTTTAGATGTAGAGCTTAGGGATATGGTTTAGTGGGGACTGTTAGTGTTAGGTTAGAGGTTGGACTCGATGATCTTGAGGTCTCTTCCAACCTAGAAATTCTGTGATTCTGTGATTCTAATTTAGAAATTTCCAGATTTATGGTAACATTACTGACCAAAAATTAGCTGAAACTCTCAGAGAACATTTCAAGTTTTGTTGAACTTTCATCATGAAAAATGCTAGTCAAAAATTTATCTGCAGCTTGACTGCAAATGTGCAAGTTGCTGCACTCCATGTTTGATAAAGAATGTAGCAAATTATTTAGGTGAAGGGATGGAGGACAAAAAGGTTAATGACAGACTCACTTTTGAAGATGAACTATGAATTAATGGATTCAGTTCAGATACTGTTGGTTATGGTCCAGTGGTAATTCATTTATAAAGACAGTTATCTCATCATCAGTTTTAAACATGAGAATATTGGGAAATGGCTTGTTTAAATTAAAACTTGGGAGCACTGTATTCAGATTAAATTATTGTTTAAAAGGCATCATAAGCTTAACAAAAGTATGACAGAAGACACTGTAATTTATGCAAATGCAGATAATCACAAGCAAAAAAATTTCTCATGCTTTCTGATGCTTTTAGTTTTTGCTTTCTGTGTTAGTCACAGAAGCCATTTTTACATCATGTTGTTCAAGAAGGCTAATCACAGAGGGGGAAAAGAACAGCTTATCAACAGTAGATGAAGATAAATAAATATATAAATCTAATTAGCAGGCTTGCACTATATTTGGCTTTCCGAGGTTAGCATGTTGAATGTTGATGAACTACTCCTCACAGTAGGTTTCCCATCCATATGGGAACTTTATTGGATTGTGGTAAAAAATCAATGAAAAGGAAGAGAGAGAAAGCAAGAAAAAAGGTAGGAAGAAAAAAAGGACAGACTCCATAAAAGAAACTGAACATCAAAAGCAAATATGGTAATTATTTTCCAAAGTTGATGGTGATGAACAATCTTGCATACGAAGGAAATAAAATAAAATAAAATAAAAAATCAGCGAACAGAATCTGCAATGCTTTTTTTTTTTTTTTTTTTTCCTTTTTGTTTTGGTCTTTTTAGCACTAAGAAACTGCAGATGTTCCCATGATGAGATGTGCCCTCTGTGTATCACAGTTGCAATGCCATAGCCCTGACCTAATGTCCTTGAGAAGAAGGACATTTGCTGTTCCAGTACAGTCCCTGATGAGAGGTTATTTCCAGTCTCTCCTCCTTCATCCCCCCCGGGTATAGCAGTGGCTTATAAAATTATCTTCAAGCACAGGCTCCTTGTGCTCAGCTGCAGTGCCTGAGATGCTGCACATTCTTCATCTGGGCCTTCTACATAGATAACACGTTCACCAAGAAAGACATAAATTTGGCAGAAATAATAAAACAAAATCAAAAACAAAAAGACAAAAAAACAACAACAACAAACAAACAAATGAAAAACACCTGTGACCATCTAATTAAAATGCATGTACTAAGGCTTACCCAGGAAATTCAGCTTTTTAGAAATTGTGCATACTAGACTTTGTAAATGAAATAATGGTCTTTTCACTTGACATTCTGTAATTTGATTTACAGATCTAATTATTGTAATGTATCAGGTTTGTTATCTTGGGGAATGAGGGAAAGGAATCATTGCGCTGTGAAGGCCAGCAGCCTTGTGGGCTGGGGCCTCCCTCTGGGCAGCCTGGTAGGGCCTGGCAGTCAGGTCCTGTCCCACCACCCCAGCCTGCAGCAGGGAGGCTGGGAGCACTGGGGCAGCCCCAAGCACCTTCCTGGGGGCAGAGCTGGGCAGAGGCCAGGCTGTAGGCCCAGCAGGGTGACAGCCATGGTGGTGCAGGGCAGGGCTGTGGGGAGCTGGAGTCTGGCCCTGCTGAGGCCTCAGTGGGGCTGACAACTCCAGGTCTGGTGTGGAAGCCTAGGCTGGGGGAGGTGGGGGAGCCCTGGACATGGGCAGGGATGAGCAGGGCTGTGGGTGCATCGTTGTCCATACAAATTGGACAAGTATGTCCAAAAATGTAGTTTACAAGTAGCAAGTGATAATATGTTCAATGTTTCTTTTTTTTTTTTTTCTTTTTTTTCTCCATTTCTTACTCCATTCTACATACCATAATAAAAAGGCAAAAGCATGTCTTCCCCTGGCTTTCAGCAGAGCAGCAACTCGATAATCTCAAATTTTTCCTTGTGATGGCAATCTGGTCTTCATGGCCTCACCTATTACATAGGACACCATAGTTTTCATCAAGAACGAAAGTGGCTAACTGGAATAGTGGCAGGATGCAGGAAACACACCAGGACAAGAGGGAGGAGGCAGCACTTCTGTAGCTGGAGGGCCAAGCACCCGGTGCATATCAACTGAGACTGCAAATAATGAAGATGTCACTGGAAGAATGGTTTTGCCAAAGAAAAGGTTACAGAAGTCTTTCATAATACAAGCTGATAGGTAATTTGCCAACAATATCTGTCAATTACACTGACAGGCAACAAGTTTTACTTCATCCTTTTACTGACATCAGCATCAGGGACAGGGCTGTGCTAACTGCAGGAGTCTGTTCTTTTTTATTTCACTGCAGAGTTATGGGTGCATATTTTCTCTCTTAAAAATCTCAGTAAAGTGAGCTTTGACAAGTTTTTCATTATAGGGTATGTGTAAAAATAGCAGCAAAAGGAAGCATTTTTGAATTTGCAAAGTCCCTCAGAAACAGTCAAGTTTCATATTTTCATGAAGAATTTTCAGCTAAACAATTTTCAGTAGCCCATGTATGAGATATTTCCTTAAAATATTAAAAGCATAGGTAGTCTTCTACAACATTTTATGTAATGTACATTAATCTTGAAACATACTGAGTACCTAATATTTAAACACCAAAAATTAAGATTCAATTTAGGTGATATTATCATAGAATCATTAAGGTTCATTAAGAATCATTAAGACCTCCAAGGTCATCTGGTCCAGCCATCACCCTACCACCAATATCACCCACTAAACCATGTCCTTAAGCACCACATCATCCTTTCCTTAAACACCCCCAGGGATGGACACTCCACCACCTCCCGGGGTAACCTGTTCCAATGCCTTACTGCTCTTTCTGAGAAGAAATGTCTCCTCATTTCCAACCTAAACCTCCCCTGGTGCAGCTTGAGGCCATTCTCTCTAGTCCTATTGCTTGATATCTGTGAGAAAAGGCTGACTCCCAGCTCCTCACACCTTCCTTTCAGGTAGTTTTAGAGAGCAATAATGTTGTCCCTGAGCCTCTTCTTCTCCAGGCTAAACAACCCCAGTCCCTTCAGCCTTTCCTGATAGGACTTGTGTTCCAGGGCCTTCACCAGCTTTAGCCCTTCTCTGTACATGCTCCAGGGCCTTAATGTCCTTCTTGTAGTGATGGCCCAAAACTGAACATGGTACTCAAGGTAAGGCCTCAGCAGGCTAAAGTACAAGGGGATGATCACCTCCCTGGTCCTGCTGGCTACACTATTTCTGATACAAGCCAGGATGCTGCTCAAGAATAAAGGTTTATTATGTGACATGACTTAAACAGCATACTATAAGTAAGAGAACCAAATTAAATAAAGTCTTCTATTGACAGAGGTGCAAAACCTGTCCAGAGCCTGTGATAAACACTTAGAGGCAAACTCCAATTTGCCTCTTTGGGAAAATGCACAAGCAATAAAACTAGATTCAAATGTAAGTTGTCATAACTATATAGTATGGTGGCCACATTTTATATATGGTAAAATTTTGATTTTAATGGTGTGCTTACAGTTACTAAAGTTGCAGTAATTCATACTGCTTTCACTAACCAAGAATTGCAGTTAAAAACATAAATTAATAAAAACAAGGAGGTTTAGACTTTCTTAAAGTAGAAGTGGAAACAAATGAAAATGAAGGTCATTTAGAACTTTCCAGAATATCAGTATAGAGCTGGGGCACATACGAAAGAGTGATAATCTTGTGTCTTAGAGACCCCATAAAATGCTCACAAATGGCAGTAATTCTACGTTAGCACAGAAACTAGTGGCAACACTCTACTTAAGTATGCTTAAGTATGGCACTAATTGTACCTTATCAGATATTAAATACCAGAGGAAAAATTTTAAAAGTAAGAAAAAATAAACAAACGTACCAATCAGGATTTTTCACTTCAGCATTAGAAATTGGACTAATTTGACCCAATATAAACAATGACATTACAGTCATCTACAAACTGATTTAGAAACATTTCTGTTGCTGAAGCATAGGTGTTTAAGATCTTGGGCACTGTGGGGAACCCAGTTTGGCATTCAATCCATTACCCTATACTTGCTTGAGTAAAGATGTTTCCCTTTAGAAGGAAATGCACCTTGTAAAACAAGTCGGATTTTGTATCTTCCTGCTTCTTACCAAGGTACTTCATAAGGTACTCAGGGCATACTAAGCACTTATATTTAAATAACTGAACTGTGCCTTAGCATCATATCTCCTGAGTCAATCAGGAAGAATAAACATTTCTGTGTAATGATTGATCTTACCCAGCAGTGAACATCAAAATAACCCTACACCTTAGAAATTCCTGTTTTCCTGCATTGTTTATAGAGATACTAAAACAGATGCCTTGCAGAACTACACAGTAAAAATAGTATAGATTTCAGGTAATAATATAAATTTCACTTTAGACATCTAGCCAAAATTTTCTGGTTACTGTGCTTCCCTGCATTGACCTTGAACAAGACCCAAGTTTTATGGGAAAAACTGCAAGATATTTTCCTATACAGAACTCAGCAAATTAACAGCTAAGCAAACAAATAAAGACAGTCCAAGTCAGGGTGTTGGTCTTCTTCCTCATTTGTCATCGATTAAAAAATAAAACAAACAAACACAAACAAACAGCAGAGACACTCACCTAAATGAAGACTCCCTTGAAGGACATAGTTGAATCTGTCTGCAAAGCATAGAGACTTGTCAGTGTTTGCTCATCCTCACAGTTGTGGTTTAGTTACATAACAGAGGAGTCACATGGCAGGAGAGAAGGCTTTCCCAGCGTGGACAAAGGAGGAAACCATAACACATGACATCCATGACCACCAGACTGTGTAGGAGCTACACATCTAGCACCATCACAACCTATGCATCACAGCTGGTGGTTGGAAGCTTGTTGCCTGTGCCCCGGTTAAGAACCCTGAGGTATAAAATAGCCAAGCCATGAGATCTAGTACTCCACACATGTGAGAGCTACAGTGGCAAAATCACAGAACACTCCAACTAATAGCACAAACTTAGCTTTTTCATGACAGACATAGCATTCATAAGAGCAATAATAATAATAATAATAATAATGGTTTTATAGTTTCTAAGTACTTCAATCTCTTAAAATGTACTGAGGTATGATTGAGGTACTGAAACAAGGAAGTAATTAAAAATGTAAGTATCCAGTTGGTTGTTGTTGCTGTTTGCTTATTTATTTATTTATTTATTTATTTATTTATTTATTTTTAGGTAATATAAGTGGCAAACCAATTTTTTTTTTACGATTGGTGGTAAAATAAAATACCAAATTTCTGACAACAGCTCCCTGGTTGAAATTTCATTTTTATAACATTTTCTGAGACATTCAGTTCTCTTGCCACCGCATCTTAACTGTATCCCCAAACAGATTAACATCATGGTGGGATAGCACGTTATGTAATGATTTTAATAACATTTATTCATGAGTTTGTTACTCCTCTCAGCTTCAGCCTCAGGGTCTGCTAAAACACCATGTAGTTCATTAGCAGACACACAGGGAAGGCAATGAGGCAGATACAATGCGTAGGTGAAAAAAAAATCATCAGGTTTAACTCTTCTCTAACCTTTTAAAAGGCTTATAGCCTTATTTAATACTAAATTTCAATAATGAGCATAGTGTTTCAAATAATAGATAATTAGGAACAATGAAATACAAACAAATTGTGTATTTTGAGGTAATTATGCTACTGGGACACCCGACAAAGACAATAACAAGCAAACAAACAACAAAACAAAACAAAAAAAACACAACTGAAAACAAAAGCAGATAAAAAGGATGAAGATATCAGGTGAATTTCTATGGAAAAGTTCTTAAAACATTTCCTAGTATTTGTGTGAATATTAATGTATAAATGTAAACTAGATATTTATCCAGAATCATTATGTCATATTTTAAATGATATATTGAAGTATATATTTTCTTAAAAGGTAACTCATAGAAAAAAAAAAAAAAGAAAAAAGATGGAGACTGTAATCTCTACTTCAGCCATGAATAATCCAAATTTGTCTATAGGAATGATCTTTTGTGTAATGAATTTTACAAACACAACTAACCTGTCGCATCCATACCAAAATGTGTAGTGGTATAAGAAAATAAATTCCAACAATAGAATTATGTGCCATTTTGAAGAATTAAATGTCTTAAACTGTCAGTATACCCTCTATATCAAGGCTTTTGTCCATATTCTAAATTTTAAGATTTATTTATTTTTATTAATTCTGGAACAGACTACTTAAAAACAAACAAACAAACAAACAAACAAACAAAACTAATGCATATATTGTCATGATTATCATTATTTTAGTGATTAGCTTATTTTCCAAACTAAAAAGCAAGAAACTATCTCCAAGAAAAGGTCCAAACGTAGATGACCACTTGACTACATCTTCATGACAAAACTCTCTGGTGGTAAAGTCATTGTTCTATATTAGTGTGTTTGATCTGCCGGTCAAGGAATAATTTGGCTAGGAGGCATGCATGAAGCCTTTCATACACTTACGAACATACCGTTCAGTATTTACCTCTTGGGAAAACTGATCTTGTTGCATAATCAGTTTTCTGCATCAGAACTCAGAAATAAAACAAACAAAACTCCTCACTTTTCTGTCAATGGTTCCTTCGTCCAGCATGAGACAAATTAACTGTCTTGCTTTTTAAAAGATCGCTTAACCAGGTTTTCTGTTTCACAAGGTTATGTGAAACAAAGTTATGTGCTCTTTCTGTAGAAGGTTATACAGTTGTTCATAGGACTTTAATTTTTTTTCCAGCTTTTTTCACAAGAATTATTTCCATGAACATACTTTCCTTTTTCCTTGACTTAGATCAGGTTACACTTAATTTTCAGAAAACAGAAACAAAGGCTTCCAGTGTTTCTGTTCATGAGAATATAAAAGGGATATGCTTCTGGTGTCCTCTAATGAGCAAAGGTCTGATTCACCACCTCAATTGGGGTAGTTCATGGAAGGTAATTCCGGACCAACCTAGATGGTGAAGACTCAAATACTCCCACCCTGAAGATGGAAAAGTCTGCTAGGAAATATTTGGATGTGGGATATGCAAGCTGCTGCCACCTGCTTTTATATAATGCTACCTAATCTATTTGAATGAAGAGTGCCATATGGCCATACAAGCAATTCTGTGAACAAGACTGGTGTCAAATACAAAACAAGCATAGTAGTTGCTACCCTCAGCCAGGTTAGATTTAAGTAATGTCAATAAAATCTAGAAATGAGAATAAACCAAGCCAACATTGGATGAAGCTTTAGTTTCAAACTCTCAATCACAAATACCAAAAGCTGAATTAAATTGAGTCTGAAAACAATAATAAGAATGAAATCACCTAACATTTGGCAAATAGGATTTAGGTTTTGAGTTGGAATAGAAAGCAGAAGCAAAACACAAACAGAAAATAAAGGGTGAAGCAGAGCTAGTGTGGCATCTGCCAAAGTATCACATTGATCTCTTATAGTTGGCATCCTCCACTGACTGTGTCTTAGTGGAAACCAACCTGAATACTTTGGACTGCAAGGTAGTAGTAGAAATGGGTAACCAAACATATGTCAGTATTTGTGACTTGCCTTGCCATGACTTGAATGTAATGTTACATACCCAGTCAGGGTATGCTCTGTCTTGCCTTTAGCTGAAAAGAAATGGAGATCATCCTGATCTCCCAAATACTCCTATTAGCTCCCTCCTACCTCTCCCTCCCCCCCCCCAAAGAAAAAAAAAAAAAAATCAGTAAAATATGTAAAACATATTTGTCCTAAGTTTCTCCGGGTGATAAAAACTGGATGGAAGATCTACATTTCTTATATCCCTTTTTCTTTTCTCACCATGAATACAATCCCACATTTTTCTGTACATTAATGGCAATTAAAAAAAAAAAAAAGAGAGAGAGAGAGAAAAAGGAAAAAAAAAACCAAACTTCTCCAAATATTTTCCAATTAATATGAGAGCAAACTATTTTAAAGGCAGTGAATCAAGTAAGCACTGATGTGTACAGTGTCAGATTTTTGTTTCTGTTTTTTTTTTTTTTTTTTTTTTTTTTTGCATTTGTACTGAAAAAATACAAAGCCCCCGTATCTCTTCATATAGATGTCACAATCTAAAATGCACAATGGGAGGAAGAAAAAAGTATTATTATCATGTGTTAGCCTATGCAGGTTAGATGCAGTCATTGGCAACAGTAAGAGCTGCTCTTCCTGAGCTCAGCAATAAATAAAGCCTTCCCTCCCCTCCCCCCCTTTTATTACATTGAATTCAACAAGAGAAATGAAGAGCCAAAGTAAACAGGATCCATAAAAACTTCAGGCTTTTCATCACAGAAAATTTCAGAACTGAAGTCTGTTTCTGAGAAACCAACCACAAACTTTCCTTTCCACTTTCTACAAAGCCAGATGATGACTGTAAAAACTGCCTCCTACCCATCTGTTCATTCAGCTGGTATGTGGCATTCTTCCCCCCATTTTTTTGATCTTTTTACATAAAATGTAAATTTTCAGGCCAGGAAACTTCAATATTTAGAATAAAAAACCTTAGCCTTGAAAAAAAAGTATGGACTCTCAGCAAAGAAGTGTTCTTCATGTAAATGCCCAAGGATATAAGCATACTAAGTTAATATGCTGAATGATGAATCACTGAAAACATCAGCAAAGAGAGATTACTCCATGTCTGGTCTTAATTTCACTTTGAGTTAGAAATATGATACCTTATGTAAGCTACCTCAGGGAACATATGCCATTAAAGAACAATGAAAATTGTTGAATATTCTGTGGATAGAATTCACTGTTATAGCAGCTTCCCAAGGGAGAAGACACAAGTTTTCAAGCACTTTCTGAACATTAAAAACTTGGCAGTATTTTCAAATCTAACCATGAGAATGCTTATCTTGCCCATCATTTGCTTAACATCATGTTAGATTGCAGTTCCCATCTTCAGTCAATGGGGAAATCTGGCTTCAATTTTTGGACTGAAATAAGCATTCTTTTATTGTGAATCCTGCATATTGTACAGAAGGATATTTCTTTAACTGAGCCATTAAAAACCTACTTAAAAGATTCATAACTACAGCAAAACATGCAGCAGAGAATGCAATAAAAATATGCAGTTTTCTCAAGTCTTTAAGAGGGCTGTTTTGGGAAATGTCTGGCTATGGAACTAATGTATGAAATAAGACATTCCTTCAAATTAGTAGTACTTGTGAGCTCTGTAATTTTTCATATACTTTTTTTTTTTTTCCCTGCACAAGATGCATTTTTAACATTGCTAAGCACCTTTCGCTATTGTGATTTTGAGAGATAATAAGAAAGAAAGTGGATAGACTTTTGAGTTGGCCTTGACAGTCTGAGTAATCAAGCCTTGATACTTTTTGAAAACCTTTAATTTTTCAATAAAAAAGACCCCAGATTTATCTTTTAGGAACAGATGTTTGGCCAAAGGCTGCAATGATTTTGAAATATTCGGCATTCAGCACTTCCCAATGTAACATAAACTGTGGCTACAAATTAAAGATAAATACACCCTGTATTCTCTCTTGCATTGCTACTTCCTTTTTTTTTTTTCCAAAAATATCACTGGAAAAACATAAAAACATGTAATTTTTCTTTTCATAAAATAATTCATCTTTCTAGATCTTCTCTAGACTAAAACTGAAATAA